GAAGAAGATGTACATTAAACAAGGATGAGAGGTGGGAGGGAAAGGGAGAGAGAAGGGAAATTGCATGAAAATGGAAGTTGATCCTCAGGGTTATACAAAATTACATATAAGAGGAAAGGAGAGGTAAGAGAAGAATAATACAAGTGGCAGAACTAGCATTTTCAAATGACTGCTATCTTTCAAAGTAGGCAGTAAACTTATTTATGTGCTACTGTCACTAGTTCACCACATCTCTGAACTTCTTCTTTGGGAAGCACTTTTAAGAGCCTTTTTTGTGGGGAATACTGGGGATTGAAGTCAGGGGCAAAGGCAATTGACCACTGAGCCACATACCTAGCCCTATTTTGTATTTTATTTAGAGACAAGATCTCATTGAGTTGTTTAGTGCCTTGCTTTTGCTGAGGCTAGTTTTGAACTTGAGATCCTCCTGCCTCAGCTTCCCAAGCCTCTGGGATTACAGGCATGCACCACTGTGCCTGGCTTAAGAGCCATTTTTGAACCATGTCAGAAAATCAGTGCCCTTTCTTCTGGTACATATTATCAGTAGTTAATTCACCAGATTAGCTCTGGGAGACTTGAGGCTGTTTTGAAAGATGAAATGCATCCTCAATGAATAAGCATCTGCCACAATGAGGTGATTTAGGATAGAGGATATACCTAAAGAAACATGATCTACATGTTTTGGATCATCCCTGCAGCATGAGAATTAATGTCATAGCCCACAATGTCATCATCTGGAAAAGCAATACTCATTAGTATGTATCAGTTCTAACACAATGCAAAATACTGCCAGCAGCATTTCCAGAGTCATACTTTATGAAAATTTAAAGTTATCTGAGTTTGGATGAATTAAAGCTGAGTGGGGATCAGCAGGGAGGGGTCTTCATGAAAAGGAGGACTCTGCCTCCCCCACCAGAATGTAAACTCCATGAGAATAGGGACATTGCCTGTCTTCCTCCATGGTGAATTCCCAGGGCCTAAAACAGTGTTTGGCACATAGAAATACATTCAAAATATATTTGTTGACTGATAAGAATAAAGAAGTTAGAATTTGAACTAGGTCTTAAAGATAAATAAGATATGTAGAGGGCTGGGGTTATAGCTCAGCGGTAGAGCACTCGCTTAGCACATGCAAGGCCCTGGGTTCGATCCTCAGCACCAGCACCACGAAAAAATAAATAAAATAAAGGTATTGTGTCCAACTACAACTAAAAAATAAATATTTAAAAAGATACACAAATGGCAAGAAACGGCAAGACAGTACGTATTTTAAGTATAAATGGTAAAAAGGGTCAGATGGGGGAGTGCCTTAAAAGACAGACTAACACTAACAAAACAAAAGTAAAGTTTCTGAGGGACAAGATGAAGAGTAGAATTTTCTAAACTTTGGTTGGATTATGTGAGAATTTAATGGGAAAACAGAAGGCAGGAAGACCTATTACTGAAGTACTCTAGGATACTCCAGGACAATTTGAAGATGTAATAAGAAAAGAGGAAGTAAATATCTGATTTCACCAAAGAGGGTTGAAAATATTAGAAACCCCTTGGGATAAAAGACAGCAATATAAAATAAATAGTGCTGTCAGTAACCAAGATGATAATGAACATAGAAATACAAATGATGTTTTATTACCCTTAACAGAGCATTCCTTCCATCTGGTGGCAGTTGTTTGAATTGCAAGCCAAAATCCTAGAGGCAAATCAATTTTCTGGAATAGGATCAGATTACTAGGCAGATTTGTATGACAAATTTTAACAGTGCCTCCTACTAGGGGGAGGTTAAGAGAAAATAATGTGAGGCTATTAATTATTGAGTGAAAGGCCCAATACATCCTAACTATGATGTAGAAGGAGTCCTAGACTTAAATAAATATATAGTAGATATACACTGTCCAAGGTAAATTATATGATATCGCTAAGTCCTACTTTCCATATATGCTAAATTATGTTTGAGGCCAGCCTGGGAAACTCAGTCTGACCCATCTTAAAAAAAAGAAAGAAATGAACAATAAATTCATATTAACGATGAACTTGATTGTAATGGAAATAAACTAACCACACTGTAGTGGTAGAAAAGAGAAAAAAGGGAAGCTTTATTTTTAATTTTTTATGGATGAATTATAATTTTATATAATAGCAGGCTTCATTGTAAAATATTTGCACATGCATATAGCATAACTTGGTTAACTTCATTTCCTAGTTCTTCCCCTTTCTTTCCTCTCCTCCCTTTCTTAATCCCCACCTTCTGCCTACTGGTCTCCCTTCTATTTTCATGAAATCCCTTTCTTTCCTCCTTTTCTTTCTGGCTTCTATATATGAGAGAAAGCAAACAACCCTCGACTTTCTGAGTCTGGCTTATTTCACTTAGCATAATGTTCTCCAGTTCTATCCAGTTTTCTGCAAATGACATAATTTCATTTTTCTTTTTGCTGAGACCATTGTGTATATTTACCACATTTTCTTTATCCATTCATCTGCTGACAAGCACCGGGGCTGATTCCATAACTTGGCTATTGTGAATTGTGCTGCTATGAACATCGATGTGGCAGTATTCCTGTAGTACGCTCTTTTAAGGTCTTCAGGGAATAGTCTGAGAAGGGCAATAGCTGGGTCAAATGGTGGTTCCATTCCCAGCTTTCCTAGGAATCTCCATACAGATTTTCAAAGTGGTTGTACTAATTTACAATCCCACTAACAATGTGTAAATGTTCAAAAAAGAAACTATTTTCTAAATAGTATTTTGATATACATATTTTAAGGCTAAAAAAAATGCACCAACATGCATGACAACATGGAGAACCCAGAGGACATTATGTCAAGTGAAAAAAAATCAGATGCAGGTAAAAAAAAAAATACTGCAGGATCTCACTTATATGTAGAACCTAAAAATGCAGAGAGGAGAATGGTGGTTCCTAGGGGATGGGGGTCAGGTGGGCTGGGGAGATGCTGTTTAAAAGGTGAGAAACTGCTGGGTGTGGTGCACATGCCTATAATCCCAGCAACTCAGGAGGCTGAGACAGGAGGATTGCAAGTTTGAGGCCAGCTGCAGAAAATTAGTGAGATCTTGTCTCAAAATAAAAAGCAAAAAAAGGATGGAGGTAGGGGAGGAGAAGGGTGGTGGGGAGAGGGAGAATATCTAGAATGAACTCTGTGGTTCTGGTATCAAAGGTGTTAGTATGAACTGAATTCATACACTGATTCATATTGGTACTTTTGATTCTGGTCCAACATATATGCATATGTGTGTGTGTGTGTGTGTGTGTGTGTGTGTGTGTGTATATATATATATATATACACACACACACACACACAGGTATAAATAGTTTTTTTTTGTCTCTATGTATTTCCTAGTTCTGTTCACTGAGAAGGCATAAAACCAAGTTTAGCTCAGTAGTAATGAATATAACTAGGACTGAAATTTAACTTTCTAAATACTATTTGCAAATAAAAGGAACCAGTGTTCCCTGAAGAAAAGTCTGAATCCAGGGCTGGGGCAGGAAAAATACAAGATGAACCTGGAATAGTATGTAGAACTAGAAAACAAAGACATCTTCAAAAATTATGAGGCTATGCTGGAAGGACCACAGTGCTCCCTATGGTCAAATATGAGTCAATTTGAGTAACAAAACAAATGATGAGAATGAAATTTAATTCACAGAATAAAATAGTTGATTTAGCAGCAGAATCATATTTTCAAATAACATTTTACAAAGCAAAGTTGAGGGATCTTGAAACCTTCCAAAACATTATTTGAATCAAGTTATCAAACTTAACATCAACAGTAAGGAGACATATTGACAACATGTGTCTCGTAATAAAATGTAATAACAAGGTCATAATATGACTTTTGTAGTGTTCTTTTTTAATTTTTTTCTTTAGCTGTCAATGGACTTTATTTATATATGGTGCTGAGAATTAAACCCAATGCCTCACACATGCTAGACAAGCGCTCTACCACTGAGCCACAACCCCAGCCCAACTTCTGTAGAGGTTATACCAAAAATGTATAACCTGAATTTAATAATAAGCAGATGTTAAACAAGTCCAAGTAGAGAGACAGCCTACAAACTAAATTAAATGGCTGGTACTTTTCAAAAATGTTAAAATCATAAAGACAAAACAGGAACTGCTCTAAATTACAGAAGCTTAAGGAGACATTATAGCTTAAATGAAAGGGTGATCCTGAAAAGAAATAGACTACAAAAATGACATTAATGGAAACTGATTACAGTATATAGACTTGCTAATAATTATGTGCTAATTAAGTCAAATTATTGATTTTGATAACTGTTGGGGGTTTGTCTAAAGCAATAACAGTTGACAAAGCTGGGCAGAATACATGAGTATCTTGTTTTGCAACTTTTTAAGAGTCGAAAATTATTTTTAAAAAAGGTAAAAAAATCAAAATCCTATTGCATAGAACACAGAACAGGACATCAAATTCTGGTACATATAAATGACAATTATTTGCTTACTTTAACTGTTTCATCTTCATGCATGCCAAGTTCGTTATGCATAAAATAAGTGACTTAAACTAAATTCATTGATTCTATATTCTGAGGAACCTTTAGGACAGGACAGGGGAGCTGAATAAGGAATTGACCTGGCCCTACCTCCTTCATTCAATGTAGTCCTGCTTCAGTCTGCTTTATGTGTGTAATTTCACATGAGGATTCTGCTATTAAAAAGAGTAGTTTGAAATACTACTCAGCATAAAAGGGAACTAACTATTAATACATGAAGCTCAAAAACATACTAAGTAAAACAGGCCAGCACAAAAATATACAAATATTCCATTTATATCAAGCCCCAGAGGCAAAACTAGTGTGCATAATATTATTAATATTATTAGATATTATATTTTACATCTGTATCTACAGGTTCTATATTACACATATTAATATGTATGGTATAGTAATATAAGTCAGTTTACTTGTTGGGGGAGGGATAGGACACTGGGAGAGAGCACATGAGAACTTTTGGGGGAAATGGGAATGTCTGTTTTTATTGGGGTAATAGTTGCATGGATGTATATATTTGTCAAAACTATATACATTTAATGGGTAAACTTTATTATACTTAATTTGCCAATAAAAATAATTTAAAAAATCAATTTCAAATCTCTTACATCTAATGGAATATCTTGTTTTGGATTCATTAAATAGACAACCTTTGCTTCACTGTGTACAAATTTTAGTATCAGAAAAGCAAAAGAAACATAAAAATGGGGGAACAAAACCGTGACTAAGCTAAGCCCATGCTGGATTAAACAATTATTAAATTACAAATACTTTATCACATACCTTATAGAAGAAATACTGTACAAGATGTGCTATTCTCACATAGTATAGATGTCMGTGAGCCAATAATAGTTTCTTTAAATGTTTAAACTTGGGTACAGAATAATCACTGTTCCGGGCTGCTTGGCGGCCTTCTTTGCCTTTAATACCTAAAAAGAGAATATATAGTATGAGTATTTTATAGAATAAGCAATCCTGTGATCTATTTTCACATTTTCTAATTATTGAAATGTTATAGATCAATTGTATAGTTTATCTATGCTTTTTTAACTAAAAAGGGCTTTCTTTAACTGTGATACTGAGAGTTACCAAATAAAATTATCACTAAATTTAATTGGAAACTATCAATTTGTAATACAGCATGAAACAAAAAGAATCATTATTTCAATTTTTGCAAGGCCAAAAATTATCTGAAAGAAAAAAGTCCACCTGAAAATTATTTTTAAGGCACTCAATAAGTGCTTGATTATGCATGACATTAAACTAGGTGCTATATATTAAGGCAACTCAAAGACCTGGATTTTATGGTGTGGTTTAGATGCTCAATTAGAAGATAAAATTCTTCATGAAATACGGACAAGCTACCAAAGAAGTCTGTAAAACCTCAAGAACTTTTAGATAGGCTGGGGATATAGCACACTTGGTAGAGTGCTTGCCTTGCATGCACAAGGCCCTGGGTTTAATCCCCAGTATCACCAAAAAAAAAAAAAAAAGTAGACACAACATCTTTATTTTATTTTTTATTTTTATGTGGTGCTGAGGATCAAACCCAGCGCCCCGCACATGCCAGGCAAGCGCGCTACCGCTTAAGCCACATCCCCAGCCTCTTTAGACAATTTCTATATTGGATAATCAATGAACAGAACTTAAGAGTTCCATACTAAGCATGTCTACTTCCAAATGGGAAGAAAAATTTGGGAAACTAAACTGCGGTACAGCAATTCCTAAGATATTAATTACACATGTACCTCAAACTTGTTGCCAAAAAATAAAAAAGGCCAGGGTGTTAGGTGCATTGCCTAAGAGCAACCTGACAAGGAAAAAAATGGTACAGGTGGGTAGAAAAGCTGTTGTTACATGTCGACATATAAATTCAACACGATTCAACACTATAACCCAAACCACCCATAAATACTACTATACAAAATATGAGCCAAACGATGATAATTTCTTAGCCTCCAAAAGTCAATAATCTCAGAAGATATAGTGCAGCAACACAAATAGGCAGTCTTGTCAGGGGCAGGAAATCAATAAAATTTCATGCATGCTGTCAAAATGAGAGCTAAACAATCAATTATATTGCCAGTAAGTTTGGGAAATTCAATTTACTTGGCTAATATAAAAATATCCTCTAACTTTGTTTTGCCACCTTCCCACAAGAGGTGGGACCTTGATCAGATGCGGCCCTTCATTCTATTAATGATTATCATTCTCAAATTCAAGATGAATAACTAAAATAATCTTTCTAGAATGTAAGAAAATTGTACCTAAAAGCAATACTGATACCATCTCATTAGATGTTTCTTACCTATGCCCACATGGGATTCCAAGATCATGCTAACATTGTTGGCACCATCACTGATGGACAGTGTTATTGGGCTGCCTTTTAAATTCTTCACCATTCTGACAATCTAAACAATTTCAAAAGAGACATAGAAAAGATCAAAGCAGAATGTTAGAATGGAATATATTAGGGGTTTTATGCTTAATTCACACTTGCAAATGGAGGCTTTGCTAACAGAAAGGTTGTGTGTGTGTGTGTGTGTGTGCGCGCGCACGCGCACACACATACATATGCAAACACACACATTTTGAATTCCAACATGCAGAACATAATGATTCAAAACGTAACACTGGCACCCACCTGATTTTTGGTTCTGTGCATACACGGACTCTCAGAAACTTTTGCCTTCTATGCAGATTAGAGGTAAACGTGTTTCCCTCTTTTACCATTATTCTTATGTCTTTTCAGATCATTAGGTCAGAAAGCTAATTTAGAGTAATTTATATAGGGCCAGCAGAACAAAAGTGGAAAGTCAGAGAACAATGTTATGGTTATGTCTTACTCTCTCCTTCCTGGTGACACTCCTATATCCCCTAGTAGCATCCTAATACTTATTCCCAGGAATTTGTATAAAATTCTTGTACCCATCTAGCTGCCAACTAAACTTCACTAAAATCTTCCACTGTTTTGGCCTCTCCCTATAGGTAGTTACATTTTAAAAGGGGCATCTTAAAGGAGGTGATATTTGCAGAAAGGTGCCCAAGATATACAGTACAGTCTGTCACTATTCCCTGTGTATATCTTCTAGCTATGAAAATAATACCGTGTAGCTCAGTGTCACTTTCATGGATGGTGCTGAATAAAATGCTCATCCCTGGTGTTAAAACACTTCTGCTCTGGGCTGCTCCAAAACCTTCTCCTGTTGTTACTTGTGGAAAGTGTACTGGGTAAGCAGCTGCCCTACCCCTCTAGGTTTTAATCTCTACTCATTAAGTCAATTCACAAAACTCCTTGGAAGTTAGCAGCCTTAAAAATGCTTAAATAATTCAGTAACTAAAAAATGCTTTACAAAAATCCTTTATTCGCAATTGTACCGACTAGCTAACATAAATAAAATCAATTTCAACATAACTGACATGATTATAAATAATTTATATGAGGCTAAGACACCCCACAGTCTTTTAAAGAAGATCCAGTCAGGTTTTAGTAGTATTGAATAGCACAACCTGCCCCACCCATATACTCAACTCCATTTAACACAAAAATTATGTTACCTAAAACGCCAACTTTCTCCTAACCCCTTGCCTCACTATGGTTCTTCTTAAAAACTTTTTGAATGACTATTAGAAATAATCTGTAAGTAAAAGTGTCAAGGACAAACTTTTCAAAACCCAAACTAATTTTATTTTTGATGGGCTACAATAATGGTTAACTCATTGTACCTTTTACGCTATGCACAACAATGATTTGCACCTCAGGGATTAAAAACTGCAGCCAGGGAAGGTCTCCAAAAGGGCAATAAAATTATAAAGGATGACAGTCTTTGCATGAGAATATAGATTAGATTAAAAGACTAAAATCTGTCTTCATGGAAAGATAAAAGGATATGTGGTCATGAACTATAAAATCAGGGAGGATTTAGTTAAGTACACAGAGTTTTTCACTGATTCCCAGGTCACCCAGATTAAGAGATTCTCTTCAAATCTCTATGATAGCTTTCACACACACAAAAAAAAATAATTTCACCAAAAATCTATTTATCCATCAACTATAACTGCATGTAATAATACATTTTTCAAAGCAATAAACTATGATCCAAAAAAGATACAAGGCCTGGTCACATACCTTAAGAAGAATTTATTTAAGAAGTAGAGATCTGTTCATGAATATAAGTACTAGGCAACCAGATAAATAAAACTTAAATAATGAAATATACTATCTGTGCAAGAATACATGACATTGTCATTAACGTTGTTCACATAAGAAGGCCTATCATATCAGAATGGAGAGGACCCTATATGCCAAAATGATTGAGTACTGTTTTACAGAGTGGTTTAAATCATGAAGTATTAATAAGATTTATATGGATGGGAAGAAGGAAGCATTGCAGAGTAAAGGAATGTCATACCCAAAGGCAAACAGCCAGGTAAGTATAGTATATGCCCAGAAAATTGATCTAGTATGACCAGATAGATCAATGAGTTTTCATATAGAGAATATGGACAGATGTATATGGAGCCAGATCAACTGGAGTGATATGAAAGTAGCAGCAGGGTACAGGAGGAAGTGAAGAAAGACTATGGGCAAAGAGAGATGTTAGGTGACTAGTTATAGGTAGAGTTTAATGGGCTATTAAAGGTCTGGCCTTGGAAGGTTATGGAAAGGAAGGAATAGAAGGAATAGAAAATGTATTAGAAAGTGAAAATTTGGTAACTGACACCACATGAAAGAGTAAAGCCTGGGCTGGGGATATGGCTCAAGCGGTAATGCGCTCGCCTGGCATGTGTGCGGCCCGGGTTCGATCCTCAGTACCACATACAAACAAAGATATTGTGTCTGCCAAAAAAACTAAAAAATAAATATTAAAAAAATTCTCTCTCTCTCACTCTTAAAAAAAAAAGAGTAAATCCTGGGAGAAATTAACACAGATTTCAAGGTTCTGAGTCTAGAAACCAGGAAGAACAATGAACTTAGTCACAGAAATAAAAGATGCTGAAGTTGGAGAAGATAATGCTAAGTGAAGTTAGCCAATCCCAATAAACCAAATGCTGAATGTTTTCTCTGACATAAGGAGGCTGATTCACAGTGGGGTTGGGAGGGGGAGCATGGGAGGATTAGATGAACTCCAGATAGGGCAAATGGGAGAGAAGAGAAGGAAGGGGGAATGGGGGTAGGAAAGACTGTGGAATGAGATGAACATTGTTACCCTAAGTACATGTATGAAGACACGAATGGTGTGACTCTACTTTGTGTACAACTAGATATGAAAAATTGTGCTCTATATGTGTAATAAGAAGTCTAATGCATTCTGCTGTCATATATAACAAATTAGAATAAAAAATAAAAATAAAAAAAGAAATAAAAGATGCCAAGAAAACTGATGATTGGGCTGTAGAGAATTCTAAGAGTGAAAAAGATACATCTCCAAGAAGATGGGTTTGGTAAGCAGATGGAAGAAATAAAGTACAATCCCAAAGACTACACACATTAAAAGTGTCTGAAAAAAGAGCATGATAGTATAGAGGGAAAGATTGCAGGAAGAAGGTGAAAGCAAAAGAGACCAGTGAGGACACAAAATCAAATAGTCTATGTGTAAACTTTTGAGGGTTTGAACTAGGCTGTCAGTAAATGGTTTCAAAAGATGTCATGAAAAGTAGAACTAAGACAAAAAGCAGATAGAATCAACAGAACATGGCATCTATATAGAGGGAGAAGATAAGATCAAAGGTAGTTTTGAGACTTAGGGAACAAAAGAAAAATGGCACTGGTAACAGGAAAGGTAAAAAACAAACTGGTCTGAAGAAGAATATCATAAGATCTGTCTTAGAGGCTAGAATTTAATGTGATGGTAGGAAATCCATATGGGGCTGTCTAGCATACAGCTAGAAATAGATTAAAATCAAGAAAAAGTCAGGGCCAGCAAAACGTCAAGGGGAGTCAGAGACGTGCTAATCCAGAAAAAGAGTTCATAAAGTAAAAAGCAGAGGAGAATTTATTAGAAGCAACTGATAATCAGGGAGAATATAGACAATAAAGCAAACTACAAAGGAAACTAGATGTCCAAAGAGGGAAGAAAATGTCAGGACTATGGACCATCACAGAAATCAGGGAAGGAGAATTTTGAGGAGGATATAATTGATAGTATCAAATGCAGTAAAGAAATGAAGAAGAGAATGAACACAGCACATGAAATTGGGTCAGGTTTGCCAGCAAGCAAGTCAGTAGAGTATTAAAAGCAGAAGAAGCTGGGCGCATGCCTGTGATCTCAACAGCTAGGAAGGCTGAAGCAGGAAGATCCCAAGTTTAAAGCCACCCTCAGTAATTCAGTGAGGCCCTAAGCAACTCAGTGAGACCCTGTCTCAAAACAAACAAACAAACAAACAAATAAATAAATAAAAATAAAAAATAAAAAAAAATTTAAAAAAAGACTGGGGATATGGTTCAGTGGTTGAGTGCCCCTGGTACCAAAAACGAGCAAAAGAAACAGGATGCATGAGGCTAATGTTATAGGAGAGAGCAAGGAGCAGTAGAATGGAGGCAACATAGAAACCCAGCAAAGTTTAAATCAATTTGGGGGAAAGAATCTTTCTTGATTTTGACCCCAAAAGGAAAAAGTTAAGGTTGAAAAAATTAGATGATAACAGTGAAATGATTTAAAAGTAAATTTCTAATTAATTTGTTTAATTAGATGCAAATTAAAAGTAGAACAAACATTTGCACATATGTGTATAGAGAAACCCAGAATAGAATATTAATATCCACAGTTACCTGGGCTTTCTGTAATGGTGCCATCCGGCAGCAAAGCACTGCAGTGCACTTCATACAAATTTGTAGGAAAATGCTTTTGTAATTATTTGAACTAGAGTCCTGACTAGAATTTAGTATGAGTGACAATGTGGAGCCATCGATGATTAATCCATATTCTTGATGTTCTGTCCATGCTCTGAAAAAGAAAAACAATATTGTTTTTGAAATTATCATACCTTTGCATTTAGGGTACTGATTTTTTAACTATAGAAGATGAGTCATCAATCTGGTTACTTGATGTATTCATTCCAAAGAAGCAATTGCCTCTAATAATAGCACAATAGTGACTTTAAGTAACACCTCAGAGACCTAAGTTGCTCATATAATTGACTATAAGTTCTAAAAAGTACAAAATAAAGGAGGTTTCACAATCTGCCTCTGTTTAAGAAATTCAAGATAAATTTTGGGAATTATAGATGAATTGAACAAGTATAAAATAACATTAGTTCTGACATGAATACAAATTATCAGTGAATTCGATACTCCTTAAAGACTGAGAAAAAACAAAATGGCTTTGGGGTAAAGAAATCATAAAAGACTTCTCTCTAATATCTTTATCTGAATGACAAAACCTATGAATAAAACATGGCTTCTCAAATATGACAGAGCATCTAAAAGACATGGTTCTCATTAAAGAATGTAATAATATAAAATATTTCTTAAATAAGTGTCATGTTTTACTACCAGTGGTTCTCAATCCTAGCCTTCCCATTAGAATCGTTTGTGTGACTTTAAAAAGTTGCCCAAACCTGAGGCCCATCCTTAGACCAAATAAATGAGAATATTTTGGTTGGGGCTTGATTATGTTTTAAAAGCTCCCTAGTTTGCTCTCATGTATGGCCAGGACTAAGAGGTATTCTAAGTGCCAGGAAAAACAAATGTAACAAGCTGACAAGTTTTTAAGAAAACAAATGGGGGCTGGGTTTGGTGGTGCATACATATAGCTACATGGGAGGCTGCAGCAGGAGGATTTAAGTTTGATGCCAGCCTCAGCAACTTAGCAAGATCCTGTCCCAAAATGAAAAATAAAAAGGGCTCAGGATGTGGCTCAGTAGTAAAGCATCCGTGGGTTCCAGAAAGAAAGAAAGGAAGAAAGGAAAAAAGAAAACTACATGGGGGAAATTTACAACTGAGAAAATCCTACCAATTAGACTTTTTTTTTTCTTGCAATACAGGAACAAAACAGTGGTTATTCAGTTTTTGCTCAGGGAATTGGGTGCCCTTTGAGAATCACTACAGTACAAGCAGTAGATACAGCAAGATCTCAGTTATAGATTTCATTGTCTAATACTACTCAAAAAGCTTAATGTACAAATGAAATCATCTGGGAATCCTGTTAAAACACAGATTCTGATTTAGTGGGCTGAGGTCTGAAATTTGCATTTATAACAAGTTTCCTGGTGACAACAGAGCTTCTTTTATATGGACCATACTTTGAGTAGTGAAAGCCAAATATACCCCATCATTCTCTTTCCATATTTCTTCGCTGTATACTGCTAACACTATATTTGTACTTATCTCTATCTGGCTTTATAATACTGTAAATAGAATTTAAACAGACATCAACCATGTGCTCTTTGCTTACTTAATAAGAGCTGTCTTACTGGGCAGAAAACAGCAACTCAATCATCAAGGAATATTTGTAAACACCAAGTATAAGTATGCTATCTGGAGGAATAAAGAATTACTGGCTAGTCTTTCCTCGGAGAATAGAAAATCTCCTTGGGAGTGACAGAAGCATACATGGGAGAACATATATAACCAGATAATAAACAGTCAATGCCCAATCCTTGGGAAAATAAATACACACAGGAAAGAATAATGGGTTCTTTGTGAGGTATGATATTTAAATTGTAACTTGAAGGCAGGGAAGAAAGAGTTGAAGGGAGAAAATGTAAGTTGGGATGCACTGGGAAAGCGAATTAAAGGTCTCTTGAGGGCTTTGGTGTGAACTGAATTAAGTAATGGAGAACAACTAAAAGGTTTCAAAGTAGGACTATGATGTGTACTATGGTTTACTTAAAGACCACTCATCTGGTAGAGGAGATTAAGAGATTCCAAGTATAAAGTGCCAGTCCTCTGATGTGGAGCACTAGTGGTGATGACTGGAATCTGAATAAGGCTTGGGAGCTGATGTGAACTGATGTGGTCCTGAATATGTTATCCTTCTGCCTCAGCTTCCTAAATCCCTGGGATTACAGGTGTGTGCCACCAAGCATTTCTGTGAACTGGAAAGGGCAAAGGAGCAAAGGTAATTTTGGATCTAAATGAAGCCTATGTAACTAGGAGCAAGACCATGCCAAACCCCAAACAGATAACCAGAAAGAGGGAATAAGCTGAAATGGTGATGATTTGTTAATTTTTCCATAATGCCTGACTTTTACAAAAGCACCACAGAGCCGGCATGGTGGCACTTGCATGTAATACCAATGTTTCAGGAGCCTGAGGCAGGAGGATCTCAAATTCAGCCTACCCTCATCAATTTAGCAAGACTATGTTTCAAAAATTAAAAAAAAAAAAAAAAAGGACTGAGGATATCTCAGCAGTAAAGTGCCCTGGGTTTGACTGCCAGTATAAAACACCCCCCACCACAAAAAAGTACCAAATAGTTGCTGAACAGAGATATGGACTAACTATGTCCTTTCAAAATTCATATATTGAAACCTTATCCTCAAAGTAATGGTATTTGGAGATGGGGGGGTCTTTGAAAGGTGATTAGGTTTAGACAAAGTCATAACCTATGGTAGGGCCTTCATAATGGCATTAGTGCCTGTTATGGATTGAATTGTGTCAGCAAAATTCTTATGTTGAAGCCTAACTCCAAATGTGATAGCATGAGAAGATGGGGCTTATAAGATATAACTGGGTTCATGTGAATTTATGAGAGTGAGGATTCCATGATGGTATTACAAAGAAGAGACACATGTGGATGCAAGGAGAGGGAAGACATCTGCAAGCAAGACTACCCTCACCAAAACCCAACCATTCTGAAGTACTCTGGTCTTGGTCTTTCAGTCTCTAGAACTGTGAGAAACAAATTTCTGTTGTTTAAGCCACCTAGTCTATGGATTGCTATGGCAGTCCAGGCAAAATAAGACAAATGGACAAATAAAATACATGTAATTTGGACTGACTTTATTTTACTTTTTGGTTAACTAGAAATTGAACCAAGGGGAGCTTAACCCTTGAGCCACATCCTAGTCCTTATTATTTTTGGAGACAGGGTCTTGCTGTGTTTGCTTAGGGCCTTGCTAAATTGCTGAGGCTGATACTCTTTCCTCAGTCTCCTGAGTTGCTGGGATTGTAGGCATGCACCATAGCACCTGGCTTTGGGATGACTTTGTAAGTACCATTTGGTTAAAGAAAGGAAACATTTCTCAGAGGTAATTTAATAAAAAGTATTTTTAATCTCACCTAAGTAACAGAAGAAAAACAGTTGTTTTACTATTATCCATAGCCTTAAAATATGGCCCATTAATTTTTAAGTTTGGTTAAACATGAAAGATGAGGACAGAAATATAGTATTGATGTTAAAAGCATGGGCTCTGGAGCTAGACAGACTTGCTCAATCCCTCATTAGTGGTATGATCATAAGCAAGTCAGTTCATATTGCTGAGCCCATTTCCCTATCCATAAAATGAAGAAAACAAGATTTCCTAACTGGGTTGTTAATGAAGATTAAATGAAAACAATCATACAAAGCACTTAATATTGTTCCTAGAATATGAAGTGTGCTCAAGAAATGGAAAATAATATTGTCTAAGGTACTCTGCAGTTAGTGCAGGTGATCTGGTAGCACTCCAGAAAAGGAATTAAGTTTACTTATGGTCAAGATAAAGTCAAGTCATTAGGTTAGATGAAGACAAAACTAGGTCAATATGAAGTATAGATGATATATTCCTGGGCATTGAATTACTGTCGATCATTGGCTTGCCCTGAGGTTCTATAAGTTCTTTGTATGTAATTAGTTGAAAGCAGACTCAAAGCATCCATGTTAATAAGTATTTGGTTCCCTCTGGAATACTGGGACATAAGAGTCCACATCAGAAATAGCTCTGGGACCTCAAAATGCATTGAAACTGTAATAGAGATTGATTTTATTACATACCCAGACCCTAAGCATTTAGAAGTTTCACTATTTTTAACATTTCTAAAAAATTAAAAACAGAACTGCCATATGATCCAGTAATACCACTACTGGGTATGTATACAAAAGAAATCAGTATGTATAACAAAGAGACATTTGCACTTATTCATTGCAACACTATTCCTAACAGCCAAGAAATGGAAACATCTAAGTGTCTTCCAACTGATGAAAGAACAAAGAAACTGTGAGACATATATGACATGGAATACTACTATAAAGAATGGAATCCTGTCATTTGTTTCAACATGAATGGAACTGAGATCGTTATGTTAAGTGAAAAATAACAAATAACTGAAATAAGCCAAGAACAGAAATACAAATATAGCATGATCTTGCTCATATGTGAAACCTAAAAATGCTAATCTCATTAGAAAGTAAGAGTAGACTGGTGGTTACCAAAGGCCAGGGAGATTAGGTAGTGGAAGGGATAAAAAAAAGATGATCAATGGGTTCTAATACAATTAGACAGGATAAAAAAACACTGATGTGCTATTGTACAGCAGGGAGACTATTGACAACAATAATGTAGTATATATTTCAAAAAGCCATATGGATTTTGAGTTTTTACCATTAAGAAATAATGTTTCAGGAGGTATGTTTACTATGGTTTAAACATTACAGAATGTATACATGCAGAACATATGGTAAAGAAACATTATATGGTAAAGTTACTCCACTAATATGTACAATTTTATGTTTTTCATTTATTAGCTAAAAATAAATTTAAACAAGAAATCGAGGTAATTTTCTGCCGGGCATGGTGGCACTCGCCTATACTCCCAGTGGCTCGAGAGGCTGAAGCAGGAGGATCACAAGTTCAAAGCCAGCTTCAGCAATTTAGCAAGGCCCTAAATAACCCTGTCTCAAAATAAAAAAAGGGCTGGGGATGTGGCTCAGTGGTTAAGTGCCCTGGGTTCAATCCCTGGTAACCCCCGCACCAATTCCCCGCAAAACAAATTGAGGTAATTTTTTAAACCTTCAGAAATGAAGTTTTCTTTTAACTTAAAAGAGAGGTGTGTAAAGTATCAAATAACTTCAAACGTGCCATTAGCTAGGCCCTCAGGGAAGGTTTTAACTTATAAAGAAAAAATACCTGTAAACAGAGAATGGTAAATTATAGAAAATGGAGCCTTCTGCATAAGCAGTTGTTTTTTACATCTGTACCAATGTCTAAGTGTAAGAAATTGATGTACTTGCTTACTTTTTAAGGCTTCTAGTACTTTTAGAAAATTCATGCAGCAATTTCTTCCAATATTCTAACAACAATTCATGGACTCGATCTTCTTTCCTTTCACTTTCTTCAATAGTTTTTGTGGTGAGTTCTAAGAGTTCAGTGCCAGTTTGGAAAAGACGGCAGGCATAGCATGTGGATTTGGCTGTCTCCATCTTGTCACCAGTAAGCACCCAGACTTTCAGGCCGACTGCATGCAGAGTTTCACTGGTCTCTGCAGCTTGATCTTGTAGCCTGGGAACACAAGGAAGCCTTGTTATCCTTTAAAATACCTGACAGGGATTCTACAAGAAAGCTTCCTAAAGAGAACATTCTTTACAATTCACTATAATTCTACAGTTGTGACAACTTATCACAGTTGGTTTTCTTATATACCCTTTACTCGTGAGATCGCTATCTTTGGTATAATTTTAATTATTAAAATGAATTTCAAACAATGAAGTCCAGAAAAGTTCATGCTATCTCTTGAGGTAATTAATACCTAATGGCAAAACTGAGAATCATCACTCAGAAACTCACCATATATTTGTATTCATTGTTAACCTCATTATATCTTATATATTACTATACATATATTTTTATATTATATATACACACATATATATGTATATATGTATGTATATATATATACATATATATGTATGTATATATATATATATGTGTGTGTGTGTGTATAAATAAATTCTGAAAGAAAAATTATACTTCTATGGGATTCCCTCCCGCCTTTTTTCCTTATTTTGTCTGGCTTCTGCATATGTGAGTAAACATTCAACCCTTGACTTTCTGTGTCTGGCTTATTTTGTTCAGCATGATGTCTTCTAGTTCCACCCATTTACCAGCAAATGCCATAATTTCATTCTTCTTTATTGCTGAGTAAAACTCAACATTTTCTTTATCTGTTGATGGGCTCCTGGGCAGTTTCTATAATTGATTATTGTAAACTGCTGCTATAAACACTGATGTGCCTGTATCAATATAGTAGGCTTGCTTTAGTTCTTTTGGATAAATACTGAAGAGTGAGTGGGATAGCTGGGTAATATGGTGGTTCTATTCCATGAAAACAGAAGGGAGATCACTGAAGCAGAAGAAGAGGATTGAGGGGGAAGAAGGAGGGATGGGAAAAGGGAAAAATTCCAGAATGAAACTAACCAAATTATGCCATCCATGTATATATATATGAATATATTACAATGAATTTCACATTTAGATATATCTATAAAGCACTAATTAAAAAATTAGAAAGAAGACCAGTAGAGAAAGGGAAATAGGGGAAAGGAGGAGAAGAGGGAAAGAACAAGTACTAGGACTGAAGTGGAGCAAATTATATTCCATGCATGTATGACTATGTCAAAATGAACCCTATAATTATGTATAACTATACAAACTGAATATGTTTATAACTTTTTGTTTGGTTATATCTCATAATTTGCATTTATAACCCTTAGAAAACTCCTAAAATATTAAGAATTTAACACTTATTCTTTCAAGAAGATTAATGCCAGAGTCCTACAATTATGTTTGGCAGAGTTCAGCCTGTATATTTAAAAGAATATTATTTTAAAGTAAGCAAAACTATACTCTGGTCTGTGAAACCAGGTTAGATTAAGCACTTGTGCTGTTCACTTTACCTTGGATTTTCTTTCTGTTCATCTCTGTCAAAATCTTACCCATTCTTCCAGGTACCAGCTCTACTGATGACTCTAGCATCCCTCTTCACACATAACAGTCTACTTTATAAATATCTACATAAGTAAGTAGTTGGCTTAAATATCCAAAAACTTTAGTACTAACTGGTTCATTCTTCTAAGTCACATGTATTTAACTTAAAAACCATTCCTATAAACAGATCAAAATCTGGTGTAATTTTTCATACTTGTTAAAAATAAATGAATCTTTAAGCCTATTTAGACAACAAAGTTAAATCAGAGATTTCAAAACATGAATAAATTACTAATTTGGGACAGACGCCACCGTAAATGCCTGGTCATTAAAATAACAAGAGTATCATTTCTAGTTACTTGTCTTCCACTGCAGTGGCTCCAATTAAATTCATGTTTGTCTCAATATCATCAAAAACCTTTTCCATTTTTTCTTCTCTGTCTTGTAAGGCCATTTTTGCCTCTATGAGCTGTCTGTTAATTATTTCATAATCATCTGGAGTAATTTCTTTGAAGGCCACACAGAGTGTCCGGTACCCATCCTAGAAGCAAAGTAGGAGATTTATAATTATCCCCATAATAGCTGAACACACACACACACACACACACACACACACACACAAAACCTCTTTAAATACTCTTGCTTTGTATAAAGAGAAATTCTGACACATTTGTAGTTTAAAAGAATGAACAGAATGCAACTGAAAAAGGTAACATTGTAGATTTTGAATAAATAAAATAGAGCTTTTAACAAAGATTCTGGAAAAGCTTATAAGGCTGCAAATTCTGATCAAATGTTATTCCAAAGATAATAGTTTATATTAAAAGAAAGAAAATAATATTAAATCTGCCAATACAAAAATACACAATAAAAATAAAATTCACTTAAACATCCACTTATTTATATTTATGTGGTACTCGGGATTGAACCCAGGTACGTTCCACCACTGAGCTATATCCCCAACCCTTTTTTATTTTTATTTTAAGGCACTGATTCTTTAAATTACCAAGGCAGATCAAGCTCCCATTTTATTTTAACCTCAAGCATGTGTGAAATATTCACCAAGAAGCTCTTGAATCCCTTTGCTCAGAAGTCACTCATTTGTCCTTCTCTCCCTCTTGTTAAGACCCAGAACTTAAGGTCCTCCTGCTCTGGTCTGCCCAGGAGCTGTGATCAGAAGCATGCATCACTATGCCCAGCTTAAACATCCATTTAAAAAGTAATCCCATAAACATTTCCAGCACTTCTCCATTTACTTATCGAGGGGAGGGATGTAGGCTCACCATTGCATTACGTTCCACATGGGCTTTAGTTAACTCAATTTCATGGTTTTGCACCCTGGGAAAAACTGCTGAATCTGCTCCTTTACAAAAAAGAAGGATGTCTCCTAAAACAAAGAACCAAAATACTCAGAATTTTAAGACTGGTATTGATATTTTAATAAGAGAACTGTTAAGGTGACCTCTCCCAACCAGCTGCTATGTACTCCAAGCCTGCCTTTCAACACACACCCAAATGAAATTAGACATCTTAAGCTTTAGTCTGTCAGGAGAAATTTAGACCCTTATGGACACAATAAATAAGCCAGAATTTACAACATGCTACTCTGTTAAAATACATTTCTTCCCAGTGACTCATGGAGGACCACACTTGCACCAAGGAGAGGCAATAGGATTATTTTTTTAAATGTACTCAGCAATGGCCTAGAGTGCACATAGGGCATCTATGAACATGAAAAACCAAACTCAAGTTCACACAGGCTTCAATTATGAATAAGCTATAGAAAGTTAGCTTTTGAAACACTGGCTTGACAGCTTTTACTAGAAACTTGAAAATAGCTTTGTAAAATGCTTATACTGGTACAAGCAGAACTTTAGATTAGTTCATATACCTGGGAAATATTCACATTTGAGCACTAAGAGACACTTAATCCTTATAAAGCAGATAGTTGAATTCAACAAATTAAAAAGCAGAGTTCTGAGGAAAACAACCTTTGCAGGCCACTTTTCCAGACATTTCATCATATGTAGGAGAACACATATGTAGATGTGCACACATGAGAACAGTGGGTAATTCAAAAGTTAAATGTGCTTTTTGGTTTTTCCTCACACATCCAAAATGTATTTAAAAATCATATGACAAAAAATTAAAAATAAATAAAATTATAAAACAGATCCCATTGCCATACATTAAAATCAATTTAATGTCTTTGCATTCATACCACAAGTATGAGGAAAAGTGTGTCCATCCTCATTCTTACATTAATGAATTTGGAACGGATTTATTGCTAAAGTATATTACTGGGAAATAAAACAAGGATATTAAGAAAACAAACCTCCTGGGCCAAAGACACATGTGTGCACACATACACACACATCTGAGAGTGCTCCCCATGGGCCTTTCAGAATTTGAGAAGACAAATCACCATGGTGCATCTCAAAGACATTGAGAATCTGGGATGATGGTACTGGTTCCTTTGCAAAGAGCAAGCCATATTTTGTTAAAGATCCTTGAGCTCTTGAATGAATCCAGTATGACCTTCCCAGAAATCTGACTGAATCATCTCTAAGTCACCAAATTCCAGGGAGTAACAGGGGAACTAGGAAGGTCTGAGTGATTGAAGCAGGAGCTCTTTACACTCTAGGCTTCCTGCTGTTGGTAATTCTAGACCATCTAACTACATCTGAGCTGCTGTCTCCAGTAAAATTACTATAGCATAACTTTATTGGTGGTGACCACCAATAATACTGTGACTACAATAATGAGTATGGTTGAAGCACCCAGGAAATATTCACAATTGAGCACTAAGAAAGTGAGCTCTCTGAACATACTCATAGTTGAGTACATTGAAGCATAAGTCATCCTTTCAGTTCCTGTCTGGATAGCCAGTGCAAAGGAATACAGTTTTATTTCCAAGAAAATGCATTTACTATCACACCAGGCATTCTGCCATTGACAATTTGACAAACTGAACATGTTTCCAAATAAACACATGAAGGCGTATTTATAAATGCCGCTGTTTTGCAAAACTTTACCTAATCCTAAGCTACTACCTACAATGCTTAAATTTTCTGAAATACTTTATCCTACAAATGGAAAAAGTCAAGTTTGAAGAAGTATACCTCCTTGAGTCTTCACAATTACACTCATACGTCGGCGGAGGGAATCAAAGTTTAAGGTGTGAAGAAGTTCATACCTTCAAAAGAATAGAAATGAAAAAAGTAAAATACCTGAGCCATGCTGAGCAAAATATAACACAATAGAAACATCTAAACTTTATATACAGAAATATGAAAAAATTGAGCTCTATATGTGTAATAAGAATTGTAATGCATTCCACTGTTGTGTATTCAAAACATACAAATAAATAAATAAATAAGATATTTAAAAATCTTAAATGAACAGATAATTCTCCTCTTTGGATGAGGGTAGCTAGTTGTATACACAACTGGTACTTTCTTTCTTTTTTAAAATTTCTCTACATATAGAACCTGCTGTCACAGGATATCTGAGTTGGTAGGGTATTTATATCCTTTTATTATATTACTTAAAATAGTAAGGAGAGCGACTACATACGAATGGAGAACAAAAAGCAGTCCCACCAAGCCATATCTGGAAGGATCTAGAAATAGTTCTGCTCTTCTAATTATTTTACTATGTTCTATGAGTACCTCTTAAGGGCCAGTCATTGTGCTGTGTGTTGGGGAACAGTGGTGAATCTGCGTGAGCCCACTCCCCCAAGGAGTTTACCACATTTTGAAAAAAAATATTTTTTAATTGTAGTTGGACATAATACTTTTATTTTACTTATTTTTACGTGGTGCTGAGGATTGAAGCTAGGGCCTCACACGTGCTAGGAAAGTGCTCTACCACTGAGCCACAACCCCAGCCCAAGTTCACCACATTCTAATGCAGAAAAGGTTAAAATACAATAACTCTCCCAGTTGTCAAATAGTGAAAAAAAAAGGTACTTACAAAGGAGAGATAAAACTACAGAATAAAAAAAAAGCCATCGGAAGGAAGGTTTTCTGAAAGAGGTGCCTGAGCTGGGTTCTGCAAGAATGATATGCAGAAAGGGGACAGGGCATTCTGATAGTATAGACTAAGATCAGATGCAAAGGCATAGCAAGGACTTTAAAGTTTCCCTTTGCATGGAAAACTCATTCACAGGCAAACAGCAAGAAATGAAGCAAGAAAGGCAAGCAGGAGCTGAAAACAGAACTTTGTGGGTTGGTTAAGAAGTTTGGCATTTTGTCTTAAGAGCAACAGGAAGCTAATGAAGGGTTTAAAGAGTGGAATGATATTAAGAGACTGATCAGATTTGTGTATGTATGGCTAAACTATTAATCAGATGTAAGGATACAGAAGAATTAAAATAAGAGGCAATTATCAAAAAAAGGATGATGGAATTTAAAAAAAAATAAACAACTTAGATACATATATTTAACATAAAAATGTCGGGATGGACTGTAGCTCAGTGGCAAAGCACTTTCTTGCATGTGTGAGGCACTGGGTTCAATCCTTATCACCATATACAAATAAAATAAAGGCATTCTGTCTATCTACAACCAGAAAATATTTTCTTAAAAGGTTTATTATATAGCTTGATTTTGGTGGGGGTGAGTGGACCAATTTTTGCTTTTTGAGGTGGGGAAGGGAGCTGTGTTTAAGACATCTATGTGTAGCATTTCATTTGGTGTTGGCCAGACAGAGGTACTGTTGTGGACTGACTAGAATCTGGATGGTCACCATGACTCCAGGTTGCTGGCAATCAGACCACAGAGCCTTCCTCTGGACTGCCGAGCATCCCACCTCAAAGGGGACTATTACCCAAGGGCCTTTACATGTATTACAGGTTTCTGAGATGAATCTCATGGGATTCTCAGGGCCAGAATGGAAGTCAAATAAGATAATTACATTTCAAGTTCAAATGAAAAATTTGAATTAATCACTGAGCCTATTTAAACTCTGTCATTAAGCCAAGGTGGATTTGTTCCTTGGGGTTTTATAGCAAAAACAGAAATACTAAGATCCTAAGATACTGCTGTACCAGGGTACTTGCCCTTAGGCTAGCACCTGAATTTCTAAAAACAAGGCAAAGGTTCTATTGAACACCAAAGCTACTTTGGTGTTTGGAATTGCTGGGCTTGTAATCCCAGAGTGATTTCTTGGGCTCTAGATAGCAGAAGGTTTCATACACATTCTCTGATTTTTCTTGTAGCATGTGTTAAAGAACTAAAATGGTATCTAAATTTCAGGAACAATCCAGGCAAATTCTCATTCTGGCTACTGGACCTACATGTGAAACACATCCCAGTTCCTGCCATTGTATTAAAAACATCTTCTACTACTACATTTATTATATAGAACTCTGAAATGAGAGAGCAGAGTTCTACATTTATAGGTCCATTAGTTTCCTTTGTAACCCTTCCTAAATCCATGTAAAGTTGACTGGGGTTGGGAGTGACGGACATAAGACAACACAGAGCTACTTACTCTTCTATTTCTTTTCTTTGGTTCTCTAGTATCATATGTCCATTCCGATTTCCTAAAAATGTGAACCCATACCTATCAAAAACAAAAAAAGAATCTTTGTGTGTCTCTAAGGAACAATTAATTTCCCCTTGTAATGGAGCTATTCATCCTTGTTAATTCTTCTCTCTTACATGATCTCAACCTATAACTGCACTTACCATTCCTGGATCAGTTGATAAAACAGAGCAAGTCAAAGCCCAGTCACAATTATTATAACCAAGGTAAAGACAATTTGTAATTCCAATTCTGTAGCTAACATATTAAGTGACCTTTTAGCCACTTAATCATCTTGAGCCTCCTGGGGAAAACTGGACTGTCAGTTATCAAATGTCGTCAAAATTGCTGGCAGCACTTTAAAAATAACATGTGTTGTACAAAAAGTGGACACTGCTATTTGGTATTGGCCAGACACATTATATTGCAAAATATAATGTGAAAATTCAGACTCGTGGCTAGCATACATAAATAATAGGGCAAATCACATCAATGCATCACTATTTTCTATTTGGATGTAACTGGTTATATTTGGGGATTTTTACAAACTTTTAGATAGCACTTAGAGAAGAGGTACACAATATGGTTATTCGAGCAAATGGAAAAAACTCAAATTAACTCCTGTCATCCTGTGATTTCACTTTCTTAGGAGAAGTACAAGAGTGCTTACTTTTTAGCTCCTTTCACCCAAGCTATTTTATCTGCTGAGGAGAAGATATAGGTTAATTTAGCTTATTCTGTAGCTCCATCAACAATATCATTTGTTTTAATTTCTACAGTATGACATAAACACAAAGCACGCAGAAAGAGTTCTTCTCGATTCTGTGGAAAAGCAACAGAAGAATAACTGCATTATTTTGACTTTGATCACTAGGCACTGAACACATAAAATGTATTAATGTGAGAGAATATTATAACCTCTAGAGGACTGAGTAACAGAAATTATAAATTCCTAGGATTCAAATGAGCTATATATTCCCTCAACTTCTAACAGAATTTCTGGTCCCTAGCCAGTATCCCTAGAGGATGCATAAACACATTCAGGTTATTGTAATGCCACCTATAATAAGCCACTGACTTCTTAATGGACTAAAAGGAATGCCATATATTTATTGGGTGGGGGGTGGGGGTGTTACCGGGAATTGAATTTGGGGCACTCACCCACTGAGCCACATCCCCAGCCCTAGAGTCTCACTGAGTTGCTTAATGCCTCACTTTTGCTGAGGCTGGCTTTGAACTCACAATCCTCCTGTCTCAGCCTCCGGAGCTGCTGGTATTACAGGCATGCACCACCAGGCCTGGCTAAGGAATGCCATTTGATACCTAATTCATAATTGAGCAATAGCTCAGGTATAGGAACAATCTAGGTCATTTAATATCTACATACTCCTAGGACCTAAATGACTTGAAGAGATATCATTCTTTGAAGGAGCTCATATTTTAAAAAATTATAATCAGATAGGCAAGTGAAATTTTTACTTAAATGCTACTTCCCATAATTTTCTCTACTTATAAGCTCTACTAATTTATAAATTCTAATGGTATTTCAAAAACTTAGGTCATTTGTCTACTGGAAAATTGTTTCTACTATGCAGGGGGAAGTACATGCTTATATAGACTGAATTCTCAGGTAAAAATGGTAATGCAGAAAATCTCACCTTATCTGCTTTGTCAAAATATGTTAAAGGTCCATCAGTCTGAGATAATCCATCAACTTCCTGAGTTACACCTTTATATCTGTGCCAATCTATGCAGCATTCAATAAATTACATGATATTTTCAGTAAGTGTTCCAGTCTTATCTGTAAATACATAATCCACCTGAAAACAAGGACACAAACATGTTTCTTTAGTGTGATAATTATTTTAAGGTTCTAGGGATTGAACCCAGGGCCTCACACATGCAAGACAAGTGCTCTACCACTGAGCTGTATCCCTAGACCATGAATTTTTTTTTTTAATATTTGTTTTAGTTGTAGATAGATACAATATCTCCATTTATTTATCTTTATGTGATGCTGAGGACTGAACCCAGTGCCTCACATGTGTGAGGCAGGCGCTCTACCACTGAGCCACAACCCCAGCCCCACCCATGAATTTTTAGTTAACTAAAAATTATTAGTTTTTATTTAACTAATAATTTTAGTTATTAAAATTTCATATCTATAGGGGGAAAATCACTTCTAAGACTTCTTGTCAAATGTCAGGAATTACAGAGGCAATCCTATTAAACAAATGAGGAATGAATGTTTTTAAAGACACTGAAATAGTTACATATAACTAAGGTAGACCTACTTAAATGTAGAAGATCAATAAGAAGAAAACTCATGACTTTCTTATCAAACTAAAAACTCTTTAACTATTCAACTTAACCTGTTTCAATGTATAGAAGCTATATTAATTTTCCAAGGGGGAAACGAAAATCTACTAATATACTGAGCATTTACTTTACACACACACATACATACACATGCGCGTGCACAACACACACACACACACACACACGCACACACACACATTCTTTTTCTTTCTTTATGGGCTGGCATGTAAATAACCCATTGGAAAAAAATTTAATAGGAACCAAAAATTAGCTGGATGTAACAAAATTAAATAAAAACTGATGAGTTTTTCCCCCCCTGAAAACTAAAATTTTCTGTAAAAACATTGAATATGTATTATATAATACCATAAGAATCACAGAATATAGACTAGAAAAGTAATCTAATTAGGAGACATAATAGGTCAATAGTGATAAAAAACACTACTGTATTTCTTTCTACACAGTATGCACATTTTTCAGACACTTCTCATAAGTTTCCAAATTTATTAAAAAAATTATAAAAACAGTTTATAATAATAGGTTCATGTATAACATAAGCATATTTTAATAAATAATAGGAGAATCAGCTATAAAATAAATTTTCCATTACAATAGACTATTTTAAGCATTTCTATTTTATCTCAGATTTATCTCTTCTATTTATAATATCTGACTTTGAAAACCCACAATTTTATCCTCCTTTTTGGCAATTTATGCTTAAATAGTTAAAATTATGGGCTGACAGGAACAACCATAAGCACAAGATTAAGGTTTTTATTATGTAAGGGAGAAGGAGATGAACTCCAGCAATAGTTGCTTTCTAATTATTTTTCAAAGCTTTTCACGGTTGTAGCACAGGCACAAATTATAGCATTCCAATCTTTCCTTTTTTTCCCCCTGTTACCCAGCCAAGTTTGAATTCTCTCTTTAAATTAATCCAAGTGTTATTATTCATGTACCATTTAGATTTTTCAGTTCAAATGAAATTTTTTGAAGCTTTTTTTCTGATCCAAATTATTAACTTTCATTTTCTCCTGAAGGCTATGCCAGGTTGTTTCACATTCTACAGGTGGATTAGCATTAGCCCATTCAAAATTTCTCATTAGTGTCAAAGGTGATAACTTCGAAATATAAAATACAATTTCTTCACCTACGTAACAGTTTGGGTAGTAGAGGTCTGAAAACACTGACATTCACAGGTAGAGCCAAATAAACTATACCAGAATACATCAATGATCAAACTAGAGCATGTGTTACCTGTACTTGGATGCCTTATTAAAACTCAAGAGTTTTGGGTTCTGTTTTACAGTTCTGACTTAATAGGTCTGAGTTGGGGCTGGATAATTTGCTCTCCTAAATTCCTAGGTGATATTGATACTATTGGTCCAATGATCAGACTTAACAACCAGTGCCCCATTATATAACATATACTCTGGGAAAGGAAGGGGGAGACCAGATATGATTCTTTCCCCTCCCCCCTAAAAAATATTCTTGCCAGACGTGGTGGTGCACACCAGTAATTCCAGTGTATCAGGAGGCTGATGCAGGGGACTGCAATTCCAAAGCCAGCCTCAGCAACTTAGTGGGGCCCTGTCTCAAAATAAAATATAAAAAGAGCTAGGGACAGGTGCAGTGGCACACACCTGTAATCCCAGTCGCTTGGGAAGCTGAGGCAGGAGGATCACAAGTTCAAAGCCAGTCTCAACAACTTAGTAAGGCACTGTCTCAAAAAAATAAAAATGAGATGGGATATGACTCAGTGGGTAAGAACCCCTGGTACATCACATCCCCACCTCTACCACCCACAAAAAATAATTTCAGGCCTGAGGATGTAGCTCAGTGGTGGTATACTTGCCTAGCATGAATGAGGCCCTGGCTTTCATTTCCAGCACCAGGAAAAAAATTAAAACAAAACAACAACAATCAAACAACTCACATTTAAAGGAAAGGCTGCCCCTTAGCTGCCTGACTCTCTCCCAAGCAACCTCTTCCTCTTTAAGGACAACTTTGAGCCTGTTGAACAGACTCCCCTATATCAGCAAGTTAAAACTTACCATTTTATGGCTATTGTGAAATGTATACTTAGCCATCTCTCCCCATCTCCATTTTTTCCTGATGCATAGCTCCTAAAATACTTGGCATCTCCAGAGTGATAAGACCTTATGTTGTATGCTAATGAGATGACTGGTAGCTGGGGGCCCAGCCCATAGATAGCTTATATTCAATAAGAGAAGGACTAAAGAAGTGTCCCCATTAGATCTTCCTTTGTTTTTCTGGTGGATTTGGGGAAGTGCGGAAGGAGGGTATCCTAATTTGACTATGCAATTCTTTTTGGGGGGAGGGTACTGGCATTGAACTCAGGGGTGTTTAACCACTGAGCCACAGCCCCATGTTAGGTAGTAGCTAGAAATAAGCAGTGAAACATATGGCAAGTGTTCTTTAAGGTCTTCTTTAAACTACTTTCAAAGTGGACAAGAAAGCAAAGGGTTGAAGTTAATTTGTAGAAAATAAACAGGAGGCTAGTTGAAAAATATGTCAATAGAAAAGGATTAATGGGACTAACTCTTGACAGGATCCATTGAGGTTGGTATCAAGCTAGGAATTATGGCTATAGGTGTTTCCACTTGTCTGGGAAGGAAGATTCCTTTGGTAGTGCAGGTGCACTAAACTTCTGACTGGCCACTGATTCCAATTCCCACATTAACATGGGACTGACTGGTAGATGAAGCCTCCCTGAATATGATGGCTGCCATGACAGCTGGAAAGGACCAACTAAATTCAAAAAATGTCTCTGCTCCAATTACCAAAGTAATCCTCAGCAAGAGTGAAGTAAGAGGCATCACAATACCAGACCTTAAACTATACTAGAAAGCTACAGTAACAAAAGCAGCATGGTACTGGCACCAATACAGACTTGGAGAACAATGGTACAGAATAGAAGAGACAGATACAAACCCACATAAATACAGTCACCTCATACTAGACAAAGGTGCCAAAAACATATATTGGAGAAAAAAATAGCCTCTTTAACAAATGGTGCTGGGAAAACTGGAAATCCATATGCAACCAAATGAAAATAAGCCCCTATCTCTCACCATGCACAAAACCCAACTCAAAGTGGATCAAGGACCTAGGAATTAAACCAGAGACTCTGCGTCTAATAGGAAAAAAAGTAGGCCCAAATCTTCATCATGTCAGATTAGGACCCAACTTCCTCAATAAGACTACTAAAGTGCAAGAAATAAAATCAAGGATCAATAAATGGGATGGATTCAAACTAAAAAGCTTCTTATCAGCAAAAGAAACATCAATGAGGTGAAGAGAGAGCCCACATTTTGGGAACAAATTTTTGCCACAGATAAAGCACTAATCTCCATGATATTAAAGAACTCAAAAAACTTAACATCAAAAACAAACAAACAAACAAACAACCCAATCAACAAATGGGCCAAGGAACTGAACAACTTCTCAGAAGATGATATACAGCCAATCAACAAATATATGAAAAAATGTTCAATATCTCTAGTAATTAGAGAAATGCAAATCAAAACTACTCTAAGATTTGACCTCACTCCAGTCAGAATGGCAGCTATTAAGAATACAAACAACAATAAGTGTTGGTGAGGATGTGGGGGGAAAAGGCACACTCATATATTGCTAGTGGAACTGCAAATTGGTGCAACCAATATGGAAAGCAGTATGTAGATTCCTTGGAAAACCTGGAATGGAACCACCATTTTATCCAGCTATCCCACTCCTCGGTCTATACCCAAAGGACTTAAAATCAACATACTATAGTAATGCAGCCACATCAATGTTTATAGCAGCACAATCACAATAGCTAAACTGTGGAAGCAACCTAGATGCCCTTCAATAAAGAAGGATAAAGAAATGAATAAACAAATCATGGTACATAAACACAATGAAATATTACTCAGCATTACAAGAGAATAAAATTATGGTATTTGCAGGTAAATGGATGGAGTTGGAGAATATCATGCGAAGTAAGCCAATCCCCCAAAACCAAATGCCAAATGTTCTCTCTGATAAGTGGATGCTGACCCATAAATGGGGAACTCAGAGGAAGAATTCACTCTCTCCCTTTAGTGTGTTCTCTGCTTGAGCCTTACTTATCGTTTACTTTATTTTCACCTCACTTCTACTCAACTGTTGCTTATAATAAAGTTGTCTTGCATGGCTTTTGGTGTTTGGCTTAAAATTTTCTTTCATTAGAATTAAAAAACTGAGGTTTGGAGTTTTAACTCCCTGCTTTCCTGTGACATCCAGTCCTTTTTATTTTTTGAGACAGGGCCTAAGTTACTGAGGCTGGCCTTGAACCTATGATCCTCCTGCCTCAGCCTCCCTAGTAGCTGGGATTACAGGTATGTGCCATCATATCCTGTGCATGACTATGTAATTCTTGCCAAGGGAAAAGTATGCTGGTGTAACAACTATACTGCTTTCCCTTTTTCCTCGGATCACTTCAACTTTTCTTCTTCTTCTTTTATTTTTCCCTCTACCTAATGCAGTGGTCATAGGACCAGGGATACAACTGTTAAGTGCTGGAAGCAGGGATGATCCCTAACCAAGAAACTGTTAACTCTTTTTTTTTTTTATTACAATGCTGGGAGTAGAACCCAGGGTCTCAAATATTCTAGACAAGTATTCTATACCTGAGCTATATGCTTAGCCAGTAACTATGTTTTTATAAACCCTCTGTCAGAATTCCTAAGGCCCTGATGGGTATGGGTTATACCTTCACCTCATCTAGCAAAAACAAGGTTAACAGTGAATGCAGCAATATTATCTGGGGATGCAAACATCCCACTAGTACTTTTTGTAACTCTACCCTGTCTGCATGGCAGTGGACTGAGTGGGGGGTGGTTCCTGCTAGATTAATACAGCCACAAGACTAGGGGAGGATATACAGAAGAAGGCTAGTCTCATAATTTTTTCAAGATGGACTGAAACCATTTGGTTGTATAAGATTGGTGTCTAATCATAAAAGACCCCACTATTTTCGAACTAAGCTGAATAATTTATTTGGTTCTCACATCAAACACTGTCCTAACATATCTTTTTATTAATTTTTTAATACCAGAACCTAATTTTCCCTCCTGGTACTGGGAATTGAATCCAGGGCACTTAACCACTGAGCCACACACATCTATTTTATATATATATTGGAAACAATATATAATATATATATATATATATGAAACAGGGTCTCATTAAGTTGCTTAAAGCCTTGCTAGTTGCTGAGACTGGCTTTAAACTCGAGATCCTCCTGTCTCAGCCTCCAAAGTCACTGGGATTTCAGGTGTGCACTACATACCCTGCCAGTAGGTCACTTTTTTTTTTTTTTTAAACAGAGAGTAAGAGAGGAGAGAGAGAATTTTTAATATTTATTTTTCAGTTCTCAGCGGACACAACATCTTTGTTGGTATGTGGTGCTGAGGATCGAACCCGGGTCGCACGCATACCAGGTGAGCGTGCTACCGCTTGAGCCACATCCCCAGCCCTAGTAGGTCACTTTTTAAAGAGGTTAAGCAAATATTTGACATGACATTGGTGGGAATGAACTGATACTGCCTTTAGTAACATAAAAAGCCCTATAGATATTAAATTATGACTTATCAAGGAAGAAACTGGTTACACTTAATTTTGTGTATACCGGTATACACAAAATGCTAAATTGTCTAAGAAACTTATTCAAAGACTTCTCTGCATTTTCATTCAGGTAGTTTCTACACAAACAAGCTAATAATGATGGCAAGTTGTTTAAGACACTGGGTATGATCTGCTATTGAATTAATGATTTGATTAAAAGATAATCACACCCAGACCCGAAGGGTCTGGTGGGCAAAGGAGTGGACACTGAAACAAAAACCATAGCTCCCTTTCACAAGCCCTACTTTACTTTTTACAGTCTTAATAGTCTATATGGTAATATAGAATCTGCTGAAGTAGAGATCTGAAAGAGATGAGTCACATCAAGGAGAACCTGGTCTGGAAATGCTGTCTGTCTCTGCAGAGCATTGAGTGTCACACATGGAATGGTGGCTAGTCTGTTTGCAATAGTTACTAGAGGCTAGCCCCAGGCTACTTATGCTCACCCTTGGTAGGTGAATTCACACAATGAGGCACCGAATAGAGAACAGGAACATTTACTCAGCATCTAGGATGAACCACTAAATGAATTATCAGGGGAAAAGGATCATCAGAGGTGGTATGTATACTCAAAAATATTTTCATGCAATAAGCCTTCAGACTGATGCCTTTTATCAAGAGCAGAGTACTTTTATTCAGATAGCTCTGTCCATGGATGAAAATTTGTACCTTAAAAAGGTTAGGGTCAGCTATGGAAGCTCAACTCATGAACAAAAGAATCTTCTAGGAACAACAAGAGAAAAGCCATTGGTTCTTTCAATTCTTTTCTTATTCTTAGTGCTTCAGTGTCTATATGGAATACAGGTTCTAAGGTCTGGCTTACTAGTGTTCTGAAGTCAGATCTAAACAAAATAGTATCTGGAGAGTCCTTAGTTATTAAAAGGGTACTCTGGTTAGGCAAAGATTGTGTCAAAAGCAGAAATAGAGAGTGCGGGTAGTAGGAGGGCTAAATTCAGGGCAAGGGAATTTTAAGGTATTACATGCAAAACAGCCCCATTTAAAACAAGTGTGAGGCACTGTTCCAGCCCACAGTTTCATTAATCGAGTTTGCATTTCCCAATCACAGAAATGACATTTCCACATCCTTGACATTCTAAATATCAAGAGGATTAAATGCATTCCAGAAAATTCCCTCAGCCTGTGATGATCATTACATGATACACTGTAAATTCAGACAAAAGGGGGAGAGTATTTCAATATTAATGAGCAAAGCAACTAAGAGGTCATTACTTGGAATTACAGTTAGACAGCATCACAACAGAAAATAAATGCACTTGGGTTAGAAACAAGGCCACTGACTTGGCTATATTGGTATATGAAGCAGAAAGCATTTTAAGGAGTACATGCCTTCACATTTTCCCTTCATTTAAATTCACATACCACAATAATTAACTTTGATTTCTAGGTCTATATTCCTTCTGATCAGAAAATACCAAGAAAAGGTCAATAGCACAACTCCAATTTTGTTTATTGAACAACATGCATTTATAAAACAGCTATATTTACTACTCTGTATTCTATCCATAAATGATTATAGATAGTAATGAAGACTGTATGTTTCCTATTCTAAAGCAATAACTTAGTAATCTAACAACATCACTTGGTGAATTTCTGGGGCTGGGATTGTGGCCCAGCGGTAGAACGCTCGACTAGCACAGGCGGGACCGGGGTTCGATCTTCAGCACCACATAAAAATAAAGGCAATGTGTTGTGTCCATCTACACCTAAAAAATAAATATAAAAAAAGAATTTCTGCAACATTCTAATTTAATATATAAATTGCATCCTTCTCAAAAATGCCAGCAAAAGAACTGATGCTATGGTGATGAAAACACTGCTTACCTTTATTACATGCCTGCATGAAAGAACTTTTAATTACATTTCTAAATGTGAAATGGGGACATATATTGATAATCTATACTATACACACACGAAAAAAAGGAGTTACACTACATTAACTTATTGTAAGCAAAAATGTGTTCTAACCTGACCAAGTTCTTCATTAAGGTCTGATGTGTTAACCAAGGCTCCTTCGTTAATTTCTTCATCATAAAAGTCTTTATCCCATGAAATGAAGAAGGAACCCAAGAATTTCTGCATTTCTACTGTGAYATACATGGAGACAGGGATGATAAAGTTGAATAGGACCATAAACGATAGGAAGTCGGTGAACATTTTCAGAACCTAATAAAATAAAAGAGTCCATTAATGCTAGTTAGATGCACAGCTCCATCAGATGAATATAAACAGTTGACTTTCTTTTTATCAGTCAATGCTGAAAGCATTGCTCTTGCTCTAGAGAAACTTACCAAAGATACTACATCATTGTAGTCAAAATTATCACAATGTGAAAACATTTAGGAACATTTTCAATTTTATCATTGTTGTTCAGGATATGCATCTTCTTTTTTAAAATATTGTTTTAGTTGTATATGGACATAATAACTTTATTTTATTTATTTGTTCTTTTATGTGGTGCTAAGGATTGAACCCAGTGACTCAGGTGTGCTAGGCAAGTGCTCTACAGCAACAACCCCAGCCCCAGTACCTTCTATCTTTACACTTTTTTCACTTTCTTAAGTCCTCTGCCCCCTTCATCCCTATATATATATATATAAATGTGAGATAAAAATTTACATACAAATATCCATTATGCTATCATATCTCACAAGCTCACATTGTATTAAAATGCCAGCATTTCTTGCCAGTTTACTTCAAAATCTTAACTAAAGAGCTCAAATCAAGCATAGACGCCAGGTGCAGTGACACACTTCAGGGACTCAAGAGGCTGAGGTAGAGGCAGGAAGAGTGCAAAGTCTGAGATCAGCATGGGCAACTTGTTAAGACCTTGTCTCCAAATAAAAGGTAAAAAGGCATAGGGACATAACTCAGTGGTAGAGTGTCCCTGGGTTCAATCTCCAGTAATGTAAAAACAAAATTAAAAATCATGGATGCTTTATGTAAAATTTTAAAAATTAAAACTTAAATATTTAATGGTATAGGGCTATAACCAAAAAGAAAACATAGAAGCTAACAAAGGTATCATTTATCTGACTAGTATTTCCATAAAGGATGAATGGTTACAAAATCCTTGAGCTACAATTTTCAGTGGAAAACAAGTTACCTTTAAAGTCTCCCGTTCTTTCTGAGTCTTTTGGTTATACCAAGGTTCATCATTATATGGGGTACTCTGCCATACATACTTTAGAGTAGTGCATACTGCAGCTTTGGTCAATAAGATAAATAAATAAACCATCAAGAAGGCATTAATAGATCTGAAAAAATAAGAGTATGGGTTTTAAAACTATCTAATTAAGACATCAAATATAAATTAAACTGTTCAGTTATCTAACATTTCTCTGTGAATGATATTCAAACACAACACAAGCTTTTACATATGAAACTCAGTTATCATAGCTGCAGCATGGCTATAGAGTGACAAAACTTAAAAGCTAGCCCTGAACTATTTATTATTATCACCAGTGTTCCCCCAATCAATGGCTGGCTAGATTAACACACTTTTAGTAAAGTTCTTATAAAGGAATAGGAGATGATGGAGACACACATAATTACCTATTCAACCCATAAAGAGTAGCTTGTCTCCATGTCCCTAAATTCTAAATATTTGGAACTGAGGGCAGGTAGCCATGTGAAATCCTCAAGTTCAGTATATATTCTTTCTCAGCATAATTTGAAAGTACAGCTCTGGAGAAGGTGCCATTGAGATACTGGATATCCATGCCCATGATAGAGAGGTCTCTGTCAGTTGTACCTGGCTTGAAGTTCTACTTGATACCATTTGCTAGGAGATTATTAACTATATTGTAGAACCAACTTGAACACAGCAATGAGACACCTCCAAACCACTAACTACAATAACAAAAGGAAATGAATTTATTATTCAAGTAAATTCTACCTTTAATAGCTATCTATGTAAGCTTAGGTAAGTCACTTATCCTCTTAAAGACCATTTTCTGGTCTGTAAAGTGGAGAAGCTAATACAAATTACTTTTTAAGGAATTCTTCAGCAGATTAAATAAAATCTGACATATAAACTATTAAGGACAGTTTCTGGAAAATAAACATTCAAAATGCTAGCTGCTATTATAACTGAAATAGTTTGTTATACTAGTTTGGAATTACTGGGGAAGTAACTATGTCAATCAATAATGACTAAAGAAATCATGGTGCACACTAACTTTTCAACAGCAGAACGTTTTTGAGATTTCCCTTGGTAGTTCAAAGCCATTTTGGTTTCCATCCCAGTGTAAACAGCAACTCCTAAGGAAAGAAAAGTAGGTTATTATAACTGAATTTATCAACCAACTTCCTACCCCTTGGTCCTATAAATTTCCAAGTCTATAAATGTAAAAATCCTAAGTCCTATTCTACTTACTAGTTAATACATTATTTGATATAATTTTAATTCTGTAAATTATGTATCATATTTCATGTTTGTTTATCATCTTGTAAATTCCCAACACATAAATATAGCTGATAATAAATACAACATCTGCCATGTTCATTTTTAAACAGGCCTTATATAACTTATTTCTGGTAAGTATATTTAAAAAATTGTTTACCATATATCTTCTTGGTATTTTTTAGTGTAGCTCCTTTCAGCAAGAGATTTTCAGGTCCCAAAGACCTAAACAAAAAAAAATGAACACAGCTTATTAAAAAAAATGCATGGCATCATCAACTGTGAGGACAGATTTTGCCCTGACACATATCCATCTCCAAGGGTTTCAGGATGTATCTGTCTACTTCTACCATATGTTTACTCCCCAGGACAAGCTGAAAGATCCCTCCCTCTGAAGTGACTTGAGGGAACAGCACAGATGGAAGCACAGCACAGGAGTAGCTAGCAACATGCAGAGGTAAAGAAATGCACAAAGGGATCAAGTGATTATGAGTCACAGATAGCAAGACAAGAACAGGACAGAGTAACAGACAGTGAGGAACAGAAACAGAGGGTCACGAATAAAATACTGTGAAGACAAACTCAAGGTGAGAAAAACACTGGCATCTTTGTAGAGAGTAATTACCCACCATTTGCAATATCACCCTTCATTTCCTTAAGTCTCTTTTAAGCATGACTAAAATGGCCAAGTGGAAAACTTGAGGTAATTAACTGGGTGACAGAAGAGGAATAAAATCAACTTCCTTTTTTATGAATTGGCTCATTATAAATTACTGGCCTATCATTTTACTTAGGTCCAAGTAATTCACTCTATGTTTTATATACTGCATAGTTTTTCAATTACTCTCCTTTAAACCACTGTTCGCCATGTATATTTCCCACCTTGTCAGCCACTATATAACCAAGTACAATGAACACAGAGCCTAGAACAGGTCTAGGAATATTAGTCAAAGGATATAGAGGTCTGCTGTTTTGGAAATCCTAAGCATTAATTTTCAACAATCCCCTACCCTCTATACACAGAGACCCCACAACTCTGCCAATCAGAAGGCTAGTTAATTGTTTATTTTTATATCCCTTTCTATTAAGAAAGGTAGTTAACTATTTTAGTAAGTTTAAAAAGAAATATATCTCCCCTCCCATAAGAACAGGTTAAAGGTATAACAAACTAACCTGGCAACAGCCTCAAGACTATTACTATAGATATTGATTCGTCCAACAAACCTGTAAAAGAACATAATAACAAGTGTATTTTCTATGTCCAGGTGAAATCCAAATACCACCAATATGGAAATAAATCAAAATACAAATAATGCAAAAGATAAGATTCTGAATAAATGACAAAATCCTATTATATTTCTGAGGGAAAAGTTATATTGAATCAAAAGATATACAGCATTTTAATCTAATCTCTAAAATAATATTATGGATTGTAAGAAAGTAAACAAAGATTCTAAATTGATTTTCAAGCTCTATTTGGCACTATGCATGCACAGGATATCTCTCTTCTTTAATGCCTTTATATAAATAATGTGACTTCTATTTTAGATTCATGTGAAGAAAGGTTTCTGGTGCTAAAACATAACTTTCAAAATCATTAGTCAGTAGTTCTTACACAGGAGCATGCCATCAAAATCACTGGAGGGTTCACCAGATGTGGTGATCTTACCACACATCTCATCAGGTGTGGTAGTGCATGACTATAATTCCAGCAACTTGGGAGGCTACGGCAGAAGGATCACAAGTTCAAAGCCAACCCCAGCAACTTAGCAAGGCCCTAAGCAAGTTAGCGAGACCCTGACACAAAAACAAAACAAAACAAAAACAAACATCTATGGGCCCCCATATTTGAGATCCTAATTCAAGATCCTATGTGATGCTGATGCTGCTGATCCCAGGACCATCTTCTGAACCATGGCAGTAGTCTTAGACAATGAATACTTGATTGCAACCTTGGAAATGTCCAGCCTGCATCTTGTAGCTGATCTCAATACTGAGATTCAGCCAATCATTTAATATACTGGACACATGGTAATCTGCATTTCTGCCAAATTTGGTAAAAATGCCCAATTTCTCCTTAATAAGAGTGCTTTACTGTGTATTATCTTTATTTTTAATAAATGTACTTTACCTTTCAAAAAAAGTATTTTGTAATTTCCAATATAAACATTGTTTTCTTTATAGAACAAGAGAAATACTTTATATTACTATAAAATATGAAAATCTGTTCCTTCATTCATAGTATATTAATTATGCCAGTACTGCACTAGGTGCTAAAGATATACTAATAAGTGAAAAAGACATATTCCATTGTTTTAATAAAGATAAAGGAACAATCAAATATATGCAAGTGATTATTACCAAGAGATCTAATTTTGTCTAGGGAAATTAGGAATAATCTTATCTACCCTAAAATTCTCTTTCATATTTAAAGCAACTTTTCAGTTTCTCAATAAATATACAAGAGTATATATATATATTGATCTCTAACTTATAGGCAGAGTAAGTCACTCCCTTTTCTGTGATTCCATGGATTTTGGATTATATCTATTATTACACTGTAAGCTTAGCTTTACTATTTTATCTACTTTGCTCATTGTGAGTTCCTTGAAGATGGAGAATAGCTATTTTACTTTTGGCTCTAGTTCTTACTCTCAAGGTGAATATAGAAGATAGGAAAGGAAGGAGGACAGAAGAAATAATGGAAAGGAGGGAGGGCAGTATTCTCACAGTAGGATATACTTTGTTTTTCTCCTATTAGGTGTCAATATAAAGTATATTCAACCATATGGTCCCCATTTTAAACAGTGTGCACTAACAAAGTGGATGGCCTAGGTAATGGATACCATGTATAATAGAATGACATTAATTGGACAATGTAGGGATAAAAACTGTTACTATAGCCTCATTAGCAACATGCTCTAATCAACCCAACTAACCAGTCTTAAAATCAAATATCAAATTTTTAAAATCTACAATAACTGTTAACCAGCAAATCTATTCCAGAGAGCCTAAGTAGAAAAACAGAAGAAATTATACCATTTTACTATTCCTTCAACTTAACTGTTCACTGTGATCAAGAAATAGCATATTTGCAATCCTCAGTTCATTGTGATCACTTCAAGAAAGGACAGAGTGCCTACTAATTGCATGGCCCAATATTGTCTTCTCTTTTTAACAGTGGATGGCATGTAAAAAAGGGTTTTATTTCTATTTTAATTAACACTGGGCACTCCATTAGTCTGACAGATTAGCCCTTTGGGATAACATCATTTAAAATTTTGATAGATGGTTATGTTTACAAATAACAAAAATAAACAAAAGAAAAAACATAGGATGCCCAGGCTCACAATAATTTATCTTGGGCTGGTAGTGAACAAGGCTGATTTAATTCATTTTCCTGCCAGAAGGAAGAACAGCTCATAAAAACATACATGTGAGTAGGCTGGCAAGTGGTGGGCGTTTCTTTGCAATATGGGTGGTGAAAAGCAACAGAGCTAAGAGGTAGCAGTATGGAGAGACCAGGTGATTCTTACTTGTACAGGTCAGGTTGAGGCTGTTCACATTCAATTGCTGCTCGGAGGCTATCAATGGACTCCGCTGTACACATTGCAATGGTATCCCGCACGGCATAATGTGTCTAGATGAAAGCAGGGGAATAAAGCAAATTTTTTTAAAAAAGTGTTTCTTTTCATTATCCTACACAACTGTGTTCCAGAAATGGTATGTTTTAGTAAGAGGCTTTGGCAAAATATTACAAATATTGATGCACATTTCCCACCAAATAAATTGTATGGTATTAATCTTAAAATATACAATAAGTAATTTAAAAGATAACCCTGCTATAAAGGGATTTCGAAGATAATAGAAAAAAACAACTAAAAGTTCTTCTTGATATTGACGTCAAGAGCATTCCATTTGCAGCAGGCATATAATTAACTAAAAAAATGAAAATTTAATACATTTATTCTTCCTCCTATTTATAGAACTGAGACTTATTATTTTGCTTACTATAGTGTATAGCTATGCAGATTTGCACATTTGAATGGAACAACCCTTTTTGGTCATAGCAATGTAAAAATTTTGTCAATAATAAGAAAAAACTCATTAATGTTCCATTACACAAATAGCTTAATTAATGATCTTGAAAATGCTCAAATCACTACATTTGGTATGAGGGGCAGGAAGAGGATATCTTGTTAGAATATTCTACTAGAGTGTATTACACACTGATACATCCAAAACTGAAAGTAAGCTTCAATGAATCCATTTATAAAACATTAAACAAAGGCTAATACTGATTCAAGGAGTATACTGCTTAATGCAGAAGGGAAAGCTGTTGACATATAGTCTTTAGGGAATATTATGGCACTTCCTGAACAATATTTAAAACTATCGCCTGAGTTTTGAAAACTTCTGTACTTTTAGCTGATGTGATCAAATCAATGTAATAGAAAAAAAAAAAACCTACCTAAAAGTTTTCTTCTTCTAAGTAACTTTTTCACTATTAGGGAATCTTTAGGTAGATTTATTGATTTTATCTTGACATTCCCTAAAATATAGCTCTTTTTAAACAGCTTAAATGCTACTAGTTCATCTCACAATGTCCTTGAAATACAGAATCAGCCATTTAAATGGTAAATTTCCTTTTTCACATACTAAGTACTAGTCTTCAACTCCAGAGGGAATAAATGAGAAAAGAAATTCTCCAAGGATATACTCAGAGGTCAGCACATTAATATCATTCCTTAAAGGCAGCACTGAGAGGATTTTAACTCCTTGTTACTGCTCATCATTCTAGGTGATAGCCAAAAACTAACTGCACCAGAAAGTACCAGGGAAGTAACTTATTACTCATTTAGATGCGACATTTTACCACACTTAAAATTCCTCCTAGTTGTAATAAAGAAAATGTTTGCCAAAGTATATCCTAACATATTTTTAAAAAGGCAATCAAATTATTCCAGGTTAGAACTCCCAAATCCCAGGAATAAACATATTTTAAAGAAAATATACTTTGTCATTAGGTTAAAAATAAATCAAGTTGTAAGGTTAGAGTACAAAAAGTTATTTTTATATAGTTTCAGCCTAAAATTACTTGCATTTTAAAAAGTCTAGATAAAATATTACGTGGAATATGTTAACATTAAATTCAAGCAGTGATATAAAAATTGTGGTGGCTTTTATTTGGGGCATGGTTTTTCCCTGCCCAACACCATCCTTATCCCCAAAGATGAGAATATACTTAGGAGACAAAAGACAATTATATAACAGCTCTCTTCAAATACAAAACCTACATGAATAGGGAAAATAAAGAGTTTAGGAAGCATTTGTTTGGAAGCACTATTGTATGATTAACTATCCTGAGCTCAAAATGCTTAGGCAAGGTTCAGTCTCACCTTACAATTAGATTCCCCATCAAGACTAGCTGTAGTGACATAACAGGTTCCATCAGTGGTACAGGATGATAGAAGAATAAGATCACAGAGGAAGGTTTCATCTGCATTAACTTCTACTACATCACCAACCTAAAATGGAGAGTAAAATAAATATAAATATAGATATAAATGTTTTGAATTCCAAACTAAACATCATTAAAACACACACTAAAGTTAAAACATTAGTAGGACACAACTCCAGCTCTTATGCTTTGGGGGTATCTCAGGATCCTGCACAATGTAAAAGGTGATAAAAAGAATATTACTTAACATCCAGAATTCTCTTTAAGGTCACAAGGATTTAGGATGCTTTCAGATTACCTTAGTATTGACCTTTACCTCTAATAAACAATTCTGACACCCAATTGTTCTGATATTTCTGGAACTAATGTTTAATAAGTAAATGACCTTATCATCTCATGAATGGATCAAGAAAATGTACATATCACAAATTAGGCAATTCATGAACAAAACCTCAGTTAATTATAGAGGCATCAATCATTTCCCCATAATATTTAATTTTTTTTCTATAGGTCAACCTAAAAATCCATCTGCTATCAGAAGAATTAATCAATAGAGCAATGAAAAACAATTTCCTATCAGCAAATATTCAAAACTCAAACGAGAAAAAAACCCGAGAGAAGAAATCAGGAATGATTTTATAATGTAAATATGTGAATCATAATAGTTAAAAGCTTGTACTTTTTAATCTCAATTCATGTCCCAGATCTGACACTTAACTATATGACTTTGGGTAAATGTCTTAGGTAAGTTGACTACCTCACAGGATTACTGTGAGCATTGATAAATAATAATACAAGTAAATATTAAGGTGCTTGGCACATGTTAATCATTTAATGGGTGTTAATTATAACTGTTACAATATCATGCAAGCAAGTACTTTACTCAACTTATGAATAACTTATAACATTTATTTTGGAAAGATGTAAGAAATTCTCCAAGCACAGCTGGGGTTGTAGCTCAGTGGTGGAGTGTTTGCCTAGCATGTGTGAGACACTATATCCGATCGTGAGCACCACATAAAAATAAATAAATAAAGGTATTGTGTACAAGTACAACTTAAAAATATTTTTTAAAAAGAAATTCTCCAAGTAATACTTCTCAATATTTTTAATGGATGGCATACACAGAAAATGATAAATAATGATTTTGTACAGCATAGTCAGATAAAGGGAGGCAGCTCCTGATGGCAAAAGACAACTCACTTTAGGAAGAAATTGTTATTGTTTGGATGTGAGGTGTACCCCAATAGCTCATGTCTGAGATAAAGCAAGAAGTTTTAGATAAGAAATGACTAGGTTAGGAGAACCTTAATCCAATCAGTGAATTGATCCCAAGGTGGTAGAGTGGAAACTGAAGGCAGTTATGGTGTGGCTGGAGGAGGTGTGCTTTCGGGGTATATATTTTGTATCTTGCCAGCAGAGTCTCTCTGCATTCTGATTATCATGTGAGTCACTTCTCTCTACTGCCGTGATGCTCGGGCCTCACCTCAAGCCCCGAGGAATGGAGCCTGCTCTTCATAGACTGAGATCTCTGAAACCATGAGGTCTCAAACTTTTCCTCCTCAATTGTTCCTGTCAGGTCTTTTAGTTACAGCAGTGAAAAAGTTGAATAAAACAGAAGTCAGTATCTGGCACACTAACCAAGACACACTGGCAGTGAAGTGCTGAACTACATGGAATACCTATCTTCTATGTGCAATATTTTGAGACCTAGTCAAGAACAATTTTATTTTCTTTGCCAATCTTAATTAGTAGCCAAGAACAACAGTGTCAATACCTAATTTGTAAATAATATTTTATATTGTTGATCTTTCCTTCCTCACTTACATAAACACTTACGTTTCTTACAATAAAACTACAAACTATGCTTAAAGTATGCAAAAGAAAAAAAGAATCAACAAATTCTTAACATGATGACTGGTAGGCACTGATAAATAAAAACCACAAAGAAAACATTTTTTTCTTCAACACTTAGAATTTGCTCAGATACAAAATTCCTGTATCTACAATACAAGTTGAGGCTGGTGAGGTAGGCAGGGGCCAGATGGAAAAGGGCTTGACCAGCTAGGCTAAGGGATTTTGGCCTCACCCTAAAGGCAAAGGTAAAAGACAATGGTAAAGAAAGGGAATGTTATGACCCAGTTAGACAATCAACTAAAGTTACTTGTTTCCATTCACTATTTTAAAAGCCACAAGAGAATATCACTACAACTCCCATCACAAATATTAGGAAAAAATAGATGATCTACAGAATAATATTTTTAGAGCATCAGAGGGCTGAGAATGCAAGGCAACCAAGTGAACTGAATTTCAAAGGGTCCCTTTGAGGAGAAACGGGACAAATCAAATATTTCACAACTGACAGAGCACAAGGTAAAAGATGGCTACCATAAAAGTGGATAAGAAGAAAACAACTGTGTTTTCAACCAATTCTTAAAGGCTAGGAGTGAATCAACATGAAAATTTTGAATATCTACAAGACTGAGAGACAAAAGAAAACCATTAACACATGCTAGCTCTCCATACTGGTTTCCATTGGTGCTCATGAGAAAGCATAAGGTAGGAACATTTAAAATTACCCTTCTCACTGGTACAGGCATACAGATAATGATCAACTACTGTGGAGAGACAGGCACAAAACATGCCAGAATAGTGGACTCCTCTCTCATATGAAGCAAAAGAAGAAAAGCCACCTGCATTGGGAGAAAGGCAGGAAACCTTTGGCTGAAAACGACACTGCTGCTACAGAGGAGACAGAAACAAAAGGGAACTTGCTTGCAGGGACAGAATAGGAAAGACATTCTTATCAAGCATTTGACTGCCATAGGAGGAGGTGGGGGCAGCAATAGAGAAAATCCCACATTGAGGCTCAGGTTCATATATCCTAATACGGAAATTGGGATGGGAGAATGATTAAACCATTCCGTTCCCACCAGGAGACAACACTGAATAACAAACAACAAACAGCAATCTACTATAGGGTGAGAAGCAACAGAAGAGGGTGAGACAGACACTCTTTGTAGCTCAGGATTCTAGGATGTGTTAAAAAAAGGTGGTGGGACAAGAAACCTGGCAAAACCACTAAAGCACACCAGGTCTCACACAAAGTTTAAGGTAATAGCACAAAGAATCTGAAGTACAGTGTTAAACTGAAAATATCAATAATGCAATAATTACAACAAAAACTAAAGTCAGCCCATCTCCTGACTATATTAACTCAACCCTCAATAAATACTAAATGGCCTGATGGAAGAAGCAGGCCCATTTCAGAACATACATAATACTGACCTCACAGTCTCTGCCATTCTTTTACGTACAATGTCAAAACTCACTGAAAAAAAAATGCACAAAAATCACAAGAAAAAAGCAAGTCATTGTTGAGGGGAAGGAATCAACAAGACCAGATCCTGAAATGTAGAAATTTTTAAATCATCAAGAAGGGTTATAAAAAAAGCTATGATTAAGATATTGAAATACTTAGTGGAAAAGGTAGGCAACATGTAAGAGTGGATGAGAATTTTGGCAGAGATGAATTTTAACAAAAAAAATAAAGGAAAATGAAAAGTTAGAAATGAAAAAGCATGGTATCAGAGATGTTTTCCTTCAACCAGCAGACAAGATACAGCAAAGGAAATAATGAGTAAACAAGAAGACACATCGATCAAAATTATCCAAAATTATATTCAACGAGAAAAGGAGTAGTTAAAAAAAAAGGACAGATCTTTAAGAGGTATGACAAAATATCAGTCTTATAGTCATGTAAATGGAGTCAAAAATAGGAGAGAGAAAATGAGCCACAAAAAATATCTGAAGAGATAATGGTCATGAATTATCTAAACTTAATCAAAACCAACAAATAATAGTTCCAAGAGAATTTCAAGAAGATAACTAGAAAGAAAAGCCCAAGGCATAAGGTAGTCAAACTGCTGAAAACTGAAAAGGAAAGACTTAAAAGTGATCCAAGAAATATCATATTTGGAGGAACAAAAATAAAAATGACAACAGACATACCAGGAACTATGCAAACAAGATGACAATGGAGAAACAACTTTTTCAAATTTAGAATTTATATATTATTTAGTTGAATTATATACCTGACCTGAGAAAAGAAGCTTTTCTATGAAATTTGGTGCTATTTATGTTTTTTATTGTGGATATTTATTGGTTCTTTTTAGTTATACATGATAGAATAATTCATATTGACATGATAATATAAGAATGGAATATATTATGTTCTAGTGGGTGTACTCAGTGGTGAGATTGACTGTGGTACATTCATGTATGTACATAGGAAAGATACATTCTATTATTCTTCCTTTACCCATACCCCCTTTCTTCCCTTCAGTCTCCATTGTCTACTTCACTGAACTTCTATTCTCCACCCCCCCATATCAGTGAAAACATATGACCTTTGGTTTGTTAGGACTGGCTTATTTCACTTAGCAAGATAGTATCTACATCCATCCATTTTTTGGAAAATATCATAGTCATTCTTCTTTATGGCTGAGTAATACTCCACTGTGTATATATACCACATTTTCTTTATGCATTCAATTGTAGAAGGGAACCTACTTTGGCTCCTTAGCTTAGTTACTGTGGATTGTACTGCTTTAAACATTGATATGGCTGTGTCACCATAGTATCCTGATTTAAAATCATTTGGATATATACTGAGGAGTGGAATAGTGGGTTGAATGGTGGTTCCATTCCTAATATTTTTGAGGAATCTCCATACTGCTTTCCAGAGAGGTTGCACCAATTTGCAGTCCCACCATTAATGTGTGAGGGTACCCTTTTCCCCACATCCTCGCCAACATTTATTATTACTTGTATTCTTAAAAACTGCCATTCTGACTAGAATGAGACTTCTGATTGGAATGAGATGAAATCTCAGTGTAGTTTTAATTTGCACTTCTCTGCTAGAGATGTTGAACTTTTTTTCCCCACATATTTGTTGACCATTCGTAATTCTTCTTTTGAGAAGTGTTTGTTTAGTTAATTTGCTCATTTGTTAACTGGGTTATTTGGGGGGTTTTTTGGTGTTAAAGTTTTTTGAATTCTTTGTATATCCTGGATATTATCAGCCTATCTGAGGTACAGGTGGCAAAGATTTTCTCCCATCTGCAGGCTCGCTCTCTTCACATTCCTGATTGCTTCCTTTGCTGTGAGGAAGGCTTTTAGTTTGACACCATCCCATTTATTCTTTTTTTAAAAAATATTTTTTTAGTTGCTGACAGACCTTTATTTTATGTATTTACATGCAGTGCTGAGAATCGAACCCAGTGCCTCACTTTCGCCAGGCAAGTGTGCTACTGCTGAGCCCCAGCCCCCATTTATTGATTCTTAATTTTACTTCATGTCTGTTTTGGTACAAAACCCATGCTGTTTTTTGTTATTATAGCTCTGTAGGATAATTTAAACTCTGGTATTGTAATGCCTCCTGTTTTACTTTTCTCGCTAAGTATTGCTTTGGCTATTTTGGGCTTCTTATTTTTCCAAATGAATTTCATGACTGCTCTTTCTATTTCAATGAAGAATATCATTTGGATTTTAATAGGAACTGCATTAAATCTGTATACATTTTCCTGTAACCTCCTGATGCAGTTTCGGTAGGTCATATGTCTCTAGAAATCTGTTGGTATCTTTAACATTTTCTATTTTATTGGAGTACAGATTTTCAAAATACTCTTATCATCTGTATTTCGGTAGTGTCCGTGGTGATATTTCCTTTTTCAATATGGTATAAAGATTCCTCAGAAAACTTGGAATGTGACTACCATTTGACCCAGTTATCCCCTCTTCGGTATACACCCAAAGGACCTTGATGTGAAGCCACATCAAAGTTCGTAGTGGCTCAGTTCACAATAGCTAAACTATGGAACCAACCAAGTTCCCCTTTAATATATGAATGGATAAAGATGTGGTATATAAATGCACAATAAAATATTATTCAGCCATAAAGAAGAATGAATTTATGGCATTTGCCAGTAAATGGATGGAACTAGAGACTATTATGCTAAGTGAAATAAGGCGATCCCCCAAAACCAAGGGCTGAATGTTTTCTCTGATACGTGAATGCTGACTCACAATAGGCAGGGGTGGGGGTGAAGGGGAGGTTCATGGGATTGGACAGGGTGGAGTTGGGGAAAGGTGGGGTGATGGAAATAGGAAAGACAGTAGAATGAATTGGAAAGACATAAATTTCTATATTCACATATGAATATACAACCAGTGTAACTCCATATTACATACAACCACAAAAATAGAAGTTATACTCCATACACACACACACACACACACACACACACACACACACATTCTACTGTCACATAAAACTAAAAAGAACAAATAAAAAATAAAAGTATATTATAAATTCTGGAGAAATGTTAAAAATTACAACAGATATAATTAGTTAGCCAAGGGAAATGATCCAATGGAATAAAAAAAAAGGTTCAAATAATCTAAGAGATGAGACAGATAGCCAAACCATATCAACTATTACATTACAAGTCAATGGCTGAAGAATACATCAGACACGAGAAAGGCAATATGTCAATCAATGGAAGGGTAACTGATGTGATACAGCAATCTGTATACGGGGTAAAATTGGGAGT